GCCAGCAGCATGAGTTGGTGCACGATCGAGTCGGACCCAGGTAGACGCGTCTCATGGCCTCGGCGGTGGCTGTGGTGGCCGCGCCGACGAGCATCATGGTCACGACGAAGCGCTCATGGTGCTGCGTCCTAGGCGTCTTTACCTCGCTCATCGAAGACATTGGCGTCAAGGGTGTCCAGGTCGAGGAGCTCTACTCGCTCGACCAGAGCGAGTTCCAGCAGCTCGCGCCGGTCTTTGGCCTCATTTTTCTCTTCAAGTGGGAGCCCAACCACCGCGCCGAGTCGGCGCCATCGGTCGGCCACGTGCATCCCGACCTCTTCTTTGCCAAGCAGGTCATTAGCAACGCGTGCGCGACGCAAGCGATTCTCTCCATCTTGCTCAACCTCGAAGCGTCGTCCAACGTGGACATGGGCGATACGCTCAAGGAGTTTAAAGGCTTTACGAGCGACTTTCCGTCGGACCTCAAGGGCTTGGCCATCTCCAACAGCGACACGATCCGCACGGTGCACAACTCGTTTGCACGCGCCGAGCCGTTTGTCATGGACGACGAGAAGCCGTCGGCCAAGGACTCGGACGAGGTCTACCACTTTGTCGCGTACGTCCCGTTCCAAGGCCAAGTGTATGAGCTCGATGGCCTCGCGCCGGGGCCCGTGAGCTTGGGGCCGATCGCGACGGTACGCTGACTGCATGACCCGTCACGACTGAGCGCATGGTCGTAGGGCGGTCTTCCCGGTCTCTCGTGGCTCGATGTCGCGACGCCCGTGATCCAGCGCCGCATCGAAAAGTACGCGTCGTCCGAGATTCGCTTCAACCTCCTCGCGCTTGTCCGCAACCGCCTGCAAGTCGCCCAGCACCACATTGCGGAGCTTCTCGAGCAAGACCAGACGCCCCATGTGGCGGCGCAGCTGCAGTCGTGGCAGCAGTGCATCGTGGGCGAGGAGCAGAAGCGCGCCAACTGGAAGCACGAGAACGCGCGCCGCAAGCACAACTACATCCCGTTCGTGATCAAGCTGCTTCAGATCCTCGCGCAAAAGGGCGAGCTCGACCCGTTGATCAAGGCGCAGCTCGAAAAGGCAGCGCAGCAGACGCAATGACAGCCAACGTTCCGACCGTACTATGTAGTAACGAGGCAATCACGTGTTAAGAACGAAATGACATGGCGCTTGCTGGCTAATCTGTGTCGTCGTCGTCCATCGGCGGCTCGATGGCAGCAGACTTAGCAGCCGCCACGAAGCTGCAACACCATGTGGATGGTACCGCCGGCCGCAACGTTGTAGTCCTGGAGGGTCTTGTCATCAGCCCTAATCGAGGGTATGAGCGTCCCGCCATCATCCTTGGGGCTGAAGGGCGTACAGCTGCTTGCCGCTGTAAATCAACCTAGCCATCGATCCCTCAGTCAGCATGCGTCTGGCATGGGGCCGGCAACGTACCGGATCTGATCGACCTGGATACCTTCCTTCTCCTGGAGAGCCTGCTTGACGTGCAGGATCTACATTCCATGTTGTTCATCTCCATCTACCTTGGCTTGCATGCATCTCTACCGTGTTGTCGGGCTCAAAGTTGAACGTTTGCTACGAAGTGGTCCCGCATGAGGTCCATGGCCAGCGCCTACATGGGCGAGGAAGCGCATCTACCTTGCGGCCGGTGAGCGTCTACATAGCATGATGCATCTCCATGAGTTCCTCGTCGTCCAAGCATCATCGGCTCTACCTTGATCTGGATCTGCATGGTCGGTTCCTGTTGTCTCTCCTTCCGTCGCTGAAATAAAATGGCCGCCACGCAGCGCCGGCCGTGCTTTTATTCAATATTTAATGTGCCCTACAATATATCATATACAACCCGAATTTTTAAACCGCATGCCCCATTCCCTCAAACTCAACTCAAAACCCGCGATTGGACGCGGAAAACTCAAAACACACCGCCCACGCACGCCCGAGTCGTCGCCCGAGTGAGTCGCGCGACCAATAGCTGTTCCATTAAAGGTTAAAAGACAATATTGTACACAATGACCCAAGTGCTCCAACGGGACAACAAGGGCGCTTCGAAGCACGCGACGAGCAGAGAGAATGATGGTCTATCGACGACGACCTGCATCGCTTCGTTGGCAGCCCACTGCTACTTGGCCGAGGTCCGCTACTACGACCTCGATACGTCGTTCACAAGTAGTAGTTGCGTGGACGACTAAACTGTGCAAGCCAATAACAGCTCATTGGAATATGAATGAGATTTCAGTCGTAAGTGCAAGTGACTAGAGAGCGTGGTCTAGTTGTTTTCAGCGCGCTCGGCGAGGTCGTCGTACTTTTTCTTAAAGGCCGAGGCCATATGCACAAAAGGCGCGTCAATATTGGTGCCGAGGCGCTAGCACGCATGGTAGTCCACCGGCAGGACGACAACAGTGCGTACCGCCGAGCACTCGAAGTACTTGAGGTTGTGTTGCTCGGCAAAGTCTTCGGCTTCCTTGACCAAGATGGCGTCGCGGTTGCCTTCCTTCTCGTCCACCTTGTTGCCAATAAGAACGCCTGCACCAAAGCTCAGTATCGGACCACATTTTGAGCGTACCAGAAATCTGGTGGTTGGGCGCCGGGTTTGCGACATCCTGGTACCATTTCATGCACGACTTGAACGACTCTTTGCTGTTGACGTCAAAGACAAGCACGATCATGCACGCGCCCTCAAACTAGCGCTAGAGGTGGAGCACCAGCCTTTGTGGCGACGTACGGACATGCATCGAGCCAAACTCGCGCTGGTTGAAGATGCTCTGGCCCGGACAGTCGAGCAAGTAGAGCTCGACAATCGCATTCGTCTCGGGCATCGGAATCGACTTGACAACGAGCTCGGGCGACGACGTCTATTACCATGCACCACTCGGGCCACGTACTCGCGGCAGGATGGCGCACCATGGTGTAGTTCTTTGGGTACTCGTGGCCGCTCGACTTGAGCGTTTGAAGCAGCGCTGTCTTGCCGACACCTGCGTCGCCCACAACGACGGCCTTGCAGCGCAGCACCACCTGCCACGTCCGCTCTACGTCTTATCGTACGGCAGCGGAAGCGCCTACCGTGCTCGTATGCGTCGTCTCCATGCTCCGCAAGCCCGACATGTCGCTTCACTAGCCGTTTTGCGTTTGGATCTTATATGGCCCGTACAGTACAATGGATCACCGCAGCGATATTGGTACGTGAGAGCTTGCGAGGCGACGCGTGCGACTGCGCGACCATTAGTGCAGCAAGCCGAGGTCGGCATCAACTTGCCGCTGCAGATGCTGCTCTACTACAACGTGATCTTTGACGCCTTCACCTCCCCCATCTGGATCGCTGTCTTTTATCACAAGGTAGTACCCCACGTCCCCATGTACATGCCAATGCTATCACTGCTGCGAGGTAGATGCGGGAGCTCACGTATGCGTCGACGATACGCAAGTATGCCGAGATCTGCTGCGTGTGCATCTACCTGCCCACCGACGGCATGCGTCTCTACTTGGGCTACAGCGGAAATCTCCTGGAAAAGGTCGTAGATCTGTTATCGCTGTGGCTGCTAACCGTGCGTCGCAGGTACCGCATCTCGTGGGCTTTACCTTTCTCAGCGTCGTACCGCAAGTGCCCTGCGCGCTCTTTTTGGCGTTCGGCACCGAGCACAGCCTGCCATTTGACGAGGTATATGGTACTGTTGATGGCGGCGAGGGTCGACGTGCGTGCTAGATGCTCGCGGTGCTGCACCTGCTCTTCCTTTGCGCGCAAATGTACCATGCGTACTACGCCTGCCGCGCCTCGATCCGCCGACAAACCGCTCACTTTATGCGGCTCTGCGACCACGAGACGAGTGCGAAGAAGGTCGTGTGACGACAACACGCGCGGTAGACGAACGATGCAGAGGATGAGGATTGAAGGTGTACTTAGCAGTCCAAGTAGTTGGCCGCCATGAGGAGCTCGAGCGCCATCTCGGGCTCGATCGCAAAGTCCGGAATGCGCGCATTGCTGTTCGAGTAGCGCTTCTTGTAGTACATGTACTGGATGACCTTTTCGAGGATCGGCGCGCCAATGTCTGGGAAGCGCACCTCGCCCTTGCTCTCGCTAAAGTGGCCCGAGAGCATCGCCTTGATCGTACCGGACACGAGCGCGCACTTGCGCGCGACGTAGAACTCGTGGCCCTCGGCGCTAATGAGCTTGACGTACTCGGACGGCGGCGCGGCCTCGGCGTCGGCCATGCTGTCCGTTCAAGAAGATTTGGCAATTTCGATGGTTTTCATTTTATTCCACTTTGCAATGGAGTCTGCGTTTTTTTTCTTTTCACGCAAAGATGTACGCCAACATATGTATCTTTAAATGTGAGAGAAATAATACAAGTCGCATGGAAAATAATTTCGAAGGCGCCTTTTCCGAGATGAAGCCAAAAGGCGGCAATTTCTCTCGGACAAGTACTGGCCGATGATGGACTCGACCCCATGGACCGCGCCGTCCAGCCAGCTTGCAGGACGATGGCTGCTCCTCCTCCTCGCTAGCGCCGTCGGCCTCACGCTGCTTCGGCCCTCCAAGCGCGCGTTTGTGCAACTTGTTCTGCTTGGCATGATTGCGGTGCAGATGCACCACATCTACGCGGCAGCACGCCGCCAGCTCGTCGCGCCATGACAGAGAGTTGAGTGCGTGCTTGTTAGGTTATAAGGGGACAAAAATGCTCGTCACGCACGTCTACGAGGCTTGATTCCGCAGGACTTGGAAGATCTTCTTCTTGATCCACTCCTTCCCGCTCGGAAGATACGTCTTTGTCTCGAGGTCCAGCCTAGCATACACGTCATGAGGCCACGGGATACCGTAGCGATAAGCGTACACGAGCGTGCTCAGGTCGGCGAGCGAGTCAATGTAGTTGTACAAGTCCTGGATGTCGTACGTGATGTTGCGCTTCGACGGGTTGAGCTGCTTGAGCTTGGCTTCGTACATCTTGACGACGCCGTCCATGGCGCCGTTGACGGACTCGAAGTCGAGGTACGTGCGCGAGTTCGGGTCCTCCGTGTACTGCACGAGGATGATCGTGTGCTTCGACTTGCGGTACTCCATGCTGCTGCGACGATGACTTGGGGAATAAGGACGGCCAGACAAAAAGCCCCAACTTCCGTCGCTTCGAATTTGGAACGCCACGTTTTTTTAATCCACACTTGGTGTTTCTATGTAGCATATTTGTTGGTCTTTTTATACGCACTTAATCGGAACCTTCGAAGTTCGATACCCGACTTCATTGACATGGGCTTCAAGCGCAGCTGCGGTGTAGCGGCGCCCGGCTGCCCACCGCCAGCTGGACGACAGCAATGAACGTCATGCCACCAGTAGATGGGCGAGTATGCTTGCACCGACGGCGATGCTTTTGGCATCCAGTAGGTACGGGTGCGATCCTATATTCTGCCCGGCGAGGTTGAGGCTGCTCCGAGCCGGCAACTGCATCAAAGCAGGGATTCACGATCTCCGGCTGAGACGCAAGCGGCAAGATCGTACGCATGCAAGCAAGCAAACACGCGATACTAGCACATGGAATTGAATAGATAGATCGAGAAACGACGAGTATGAAGGAGGTCTAAGGAGCAAAGATAGGAGGACGACATGGAGGGTGGGCCTAGCGGATGGACTTGCAAAGCCAGTCGAGGCCTTCATAGAGACCATCGCCGGTCTGTGCGCAGCAACCTTGCACTTGCACGTCGTGCGAGATGATGTTGTTGAGCTGGAGTGCCTCGGCGACCTCGTCGACGCTCATGCACGTCGGGATGTCTTGCTTGTTGACGTACACGAGGAACGGCACGTCCTTGAGCTCGTGCACCTTGAGAAGGCCATGAAGCACCTCGGCGGCTTCCTGCATGAGCACGGTGCTGGCCGAGTCGACGACAAAGATGACGGCTGCCGTGTCGTCAAAGTAGTAGCGCCACAACGGCCGCAGCTGCTCGCGGCCGCTAAAGTCCCATGCCGTGAACGAGATGGTCTTGTAGCTGAACGACTCGACGTTAAAGCCGATCGTTGGCACGGTCGTCGTCGCCTCGTTGAACTTGTACTGGTACAAGATGGACGTCTTGCCGGCGTTCGAGAGGCCGACCATGTAGATCTTGCGGGGCGTCTCCCGCCACGCGAGCCGGTCGCAGAGCATGCGGAGCCGCCGGACGCACGACGTCTTGGTCTTGCACTTGTTTGCGATGTTGCCCATGCTATAAGATCTGAGAGCGGCTTGCTGGGTCGGTCGACGATTGCAATGTGATCGATCGACCGGACCGATAGGAGCATATTTCGAAACAGCCTCGACACCGCGGGCCGGACTACAATACAAATTAATGTTCACTTGCGATATGTATCCCTACCGTCGTATTTTAATACGGCCCCGGATCGGTTTCGTTTTGACCGGATACGAAACCACCAAGAACCGGATAAAAAATCGAACACGCCCTTTCGCGCCGCACGTCTTGCTTGTCGATGGCGGAGGGCGATATTGGCCCACGAGTACATGCTCGGCAAAGCGCATGAAGGCGCATGCTGCTGCTGGGTACAGTAGAGCGTGGGGCGGAAGAGGCTTGACAGGTAAGAGGTGATTACTGATCGAGAATAAGCTGTGGTATCAAGTCGACCAAAAACAAGCCGTAAGAACCGCAGTTTGATTTCGGGCTCGAATGTGGATGCTGGTTTTCAATGAAGGTCCCTGGCGAACATAGACATGTCCAAGCAAGTCGTATAATCTCTGCGGCGCGATCTAATTCATGTGGCAAGAATGATGGTTCAAAGCGATCCGCCATCTCGCGCGGGCGGTTCAAGTCGCTCGTTCTAGAAACGCTTGTTGGCCACGACAGCGTTCGCCAGCGCTGGCGACCGCGGCTTTGTTGTCGTCTCCGCGTTCGAATAAAACGGCGGCGCTTCGATATCGACGGCCGTGGTGCCGGGGGCCGCGCTTTGGGAGCCTTTTGTTGGCCTCGTTTGGCGGGCGATCTTCCAGTATCCAATCATGCCGCGTCGTGCTTAAACCAACGCGTTTGATTGGCGCTTCTATTTTTCAGGCGACCAATCCACACCGTTGCGTCGATCCCACGTGGCAACCCGCCTCTTTGAGCCCGTCCATGGCCACAGCATACATACAGCTTCAAGGCGCCTTCGATGGCGCTGTCCACGGAAGTGGTTTTTCTTCAACACCCACGCTACGTGCATACAAGTTGTACATATCACCTTGGACGAACAACATACGTCCTCGCCCATACCGACCCAATCAAAATGCTTGTCGTAAAATACATTTGGGATACACTAATACCTAGCTAGCATTGAGGAGGATCGATGCCAGTGGATTCTAGTGGCGCTCGGTCAGCACCTTGCTGAGCCAGTCGAGGCCTTCGTAGAGCCCCGTGCCGCCTACAGCCGAGCACGGCTGTACGAGCGTCGGGTTCTTGGTCACTTGGTCCAGCTTCAAGTGGCGGGCAACGTCCCCGGCCGACATGGCGCCCGGCAAGTCTTGCTTGTTGGCAAACACGAGTAGCTTTGCATAGCAAAGCTCGTCTTCTTGCAGCAAGCGCGCGAGCTCGTGGGCGGCAATATCGATCCGATGGCGGTCGGTGGCGTCGACAACGAAAATGATGGCGTCTGTGTTCTGGTAATAGTACTTCCAAAGCGCGCGCAGCTTGTCTTGGCCGCCAATGTCCCACGCGGTAAACTCGACGTTCTTGTAGCTGAACGTCTCGACGTTAAAGCCAATCGTCGGCAGTGTGTGCATGGTCTCGTTGAGCTTGAGGCGATACAGAATTGTGGTCTTGCCCGCCGCGTCGAGCCCGAGCATGATGATGCGGCGCTTCGTCCCCGAGAAGCGATCCAGGACGTCGCGCAGCTTGGCGTAAAGGTTGCCCATGATATGCTCTTGCTACTTGATAGTTTTTGGTCTCTGACGATCGCCGCCGGCCTTTCCCTTGGCGCCATGCTCAGCAAGCACCAATCCAACGCCTCCACCACGCTGCGCCGTGGACCCAATCATCGACCGCCGTGTCGAAATGCCGTGTCATGGATTGGCTGCTTCTTTCGGCCAATCATATACGCCCACCTCAAAGATCGCTGACACACCCGTCGTCAAGCGCCCACATCGCCAGATACTCGACGCACAACCGCCACCTGAAGCATGGCATCTTCTCAGAGCTTCTCGTCAGCGATGAATTCACCGTCTTCGAACACAGTACTCGGGCAGTCGAGTACCTTTTTTGGATGCAACAAGAGCAATATGGTACCCACGAAATTGCACAGTGGCGGACCGTCCAGGCTATGGGATCGGGGGTTCATGGGGTCTTGGTATCCTGCGCGTGGAGCAGGTTGTACGGTGCACGGAGCACCTAATGAGCAGCCACGTTCCACGCACCCGGCCTTCTTCTTCTCTGCGAAAAACCTCGGTCGCTGCCGGTACCTCGTCGGCTGAATCGAAGCGGAGATCTCGGAGCACAGTGTCGAGAATGCAAGTGTCGCTTCACGTCGTGCTTGCCACTTCCATTTCGAAGCTGCAAAACATATATA